CCTCATGTCTGCCTGCGGCCTCTGCTGCTAAGCTAGCAGCTAACAAAGGGGCGGGCCTCGTGGATCGAACCCTGCTTCCTGTGTCTGTTGGGTTTTGGATCCGGATCTTTCAGGACTGCAGTTATGGTAACTCCTAGAGAGAAGGTGGGGTCATTGCAGTTTCTACGGGGCTACCACCAAACAGGAAATGCCTGTCCTTTTGTTCGTTTTTTTTTTTTTTTGGTCTTTCTTTAAATGCTTTTGTGCAATTCTCCCCAGTCTTTAATGAAAACGTTCTACTTTGCATCTGAGAGTCAGCTACATTTAATGAAAGAAGCAATTAAAGTCGTCAGCACACATTTGAGTCATGGACGGGTCCGCCCTTTTCGGCGAGCCCTTTATCCTGCTAAGCTAATCCAACTCAGCATCCAGTGTTTTTGAAGCATAAATGAAGATAGTCTCTGCAGTGTGCTCTACTACTCCACACTTGTGACCCACATGCAGCTTGCTCTTGATAACAGCCGCTTGTACCCAGTGGTTCTTTGGGAACCAAAGATGGCTGTGCAGTAGTGGGTCATACTGTAGCTCATTTCTTATTTAGGTCTTTTCTTCTGATTTTCCTTCTCATTTCTTTCAGGATGTTTTCTCATATATATATATTTTTTTCAAGTTCTGTCACTTCTACCCAGTTTTGCTCTCAACTGTCAAGCCCAGCAAACCAAAGATTGGCCTTGAACATAATATATTTATATATGTATATTTGACAGTGCAGTCAAAACACATTCGAACACCACTGGAAAAACAACAGGGCTTGTAGACACACACACACACACACACACAAGGCCTCATAGCTGATGGTGCACGCTGGTAGGCACAGTTCTTTTTATCTCAAATAGGTCTGCGGAAAGTTTAACATAAAGTGCACATTCACACAGCAAAAGTAAAACTAATCCTTACGTTTGTTTGACGTTTTAAGTCACTCAGTGGTAACCTACTAGCCGAGCATTTAAATGTGTCAGGGAGTTAGTGCAGAAACTTGATTACACACACTAGTGAGTAACGTATCCTCATGTCGCCGTCGTTGCACCAGTTTTGCACCCTGGACATTAGTTTTGTGGGTGTGGTGGTGGGTGAGCATTTTAGAAGTTAAAACACTTTGTGAAGAATTTGCTGTTAAATGAGATGAAGAAAAAAATTATTTTATACATGGCCTGCTGATTTTTGGTACAGTGTTTTCTAGCTAAATTATTTTGTCATGCACATATAAACATTTATTATGCACTACTTTTCTAAATATTTTTTCTTTTTCCAACAGTCATTTTAGGCACATTTTTCACAAATGGGGAAACTCCTTTTTGCAATACCTCAATTTTTCACATTGTGAAAGGTAGCTTTTGTACTTTTGTTACTGAGAGATCTGCATATATGGAAATGTTCATTTTAAGAAAAAAAAAAAAAGTTGGGTGATTTCAATATATATTATTTTCAATTATGCTTTTTATACATTTCAGTGCTGAGGAAACTTTACAACTAAGTGCGCAATTCTGTTGATGCGGCTTCAGATCTGCAGAGGAGAGACCGAAGTGCATCGCTCTCTTGGTCTTAGCTTTTCGTACACTAGATATTTCCAGTCAGTCTGGTCAATAACAGCATGGCGAGAATAATAGAAAATACAAAAAACAGGTGTCATTTGAAATTGATGTTAATGTCTCCAAACATGGCTATACTAGTTGGGAAATGGTAACTTCTGTCTTGGTTTCCTCTCCATAGATGGAGTATAACTTATTATAAGGAGAATGCAAAATTTGGTTCATGCTTAACGCTGAATCTCGTATCACAAGAATGGATGTTTGGTGTTTAGATATTTTAATATTTCAAAAAAAGTATATATATATATATATTCTTGAACTTGCCAACTAGCACCTATTGTAATCCTTAGCATGCATGACAAAAAAAAAGAAGAGAAAATGACAAGTACATGAATTAGCTATTAAAATTAATTGTTGTGGTGTGCACCAAATGTTTCTCAACTATTAAGTTGTTAAGGACACCCCAAACCTGCTCTCACCTCCCCTCACCCCCCTCTCCCCTCCCCACGTGTTGATCTCCTCGCTTCCCCATTTGCAGACCTCTGCAGGATGCACATGACAGAGATATAAGACGAGAAAACAAGACAGAAACGTAACTTTTAATCGATTTGGCAGTGCAGGACTTTGAGCATCCTTTATACAAACACTGTTTTAAAAAGACTTGAGAACTCATTCCCGCTGTCTGTCGAGGTGATCTTATATCGACCTATCTGGAGGAAGGGGAGCTTAAAGACTTGAATGTGGTAAATGTTGCAAGTTAACTTCAAGTTGTTATGTGCAATACTTCTTTTGAACCTTTTTCCAGATAAAGACTCTTTGCAATGTAATTCTTTAATGCCATTTTTAATTGCAGACATTTAATTAAAGAAGATGTTAATATGTTTTTCACAGTCATTTTCTACTGTTATTGTAATCCTTTTCATGCTGGTGTTTGTAAAAAAGAAAAGAAATCAAAACTATTTGTACTAATATAAATAATTGAAGTTATTTTTAAAACATTAAAGGTTTTGTGCTCATTTGCTTATTTTGTTTATTTTAAGCTACTGTGATTGATTGCATTGTAATTATTAGGTCAACAATGTATTTAGCTGTTTATTGGTATATTTTTAATTGGAATGTATAATTGATTTTTATAATTTTGATCAGATTTTTGTTATATTTTTGAGGTGAAGCTTTTAATATGTTAAAGTGTCTAGTTTTTACTAATTGCTATATTGTGCTCCACAATATATGGTTCACATTTTCTGAAGGAAAATAAATATTTAAATATTTGTCTGTTAATGTTACTTAATGGCAAGATTTCAATAGTTTTTAACTGTGTATGGGAAGGTTGTTGTATTTATTAATAGCATTTTTTTACTTAAGATATCACCTTAATTTTTATTGTCATTTCACTTTATAAGTTCCTATTTTTGTATTTTCCTTTCTAATTAAGTTATGTAATACGGATATGTCCATATTTCTAGGAGTTGGTCTGTAGAAGTGCTAGTGAAACGAAAAAGAAAAATCTAATGTTATTTAATTGTTTGCAGCCAACTATTTATAACAGTATGCATAATTTTTAAATATTTGTAATGTGAAATGTTGAATGAAATAAATCTTAACTGTGATGAAAATATGTGCCTTGTGTGCTTGTTTTTTTTTATGAAGACATTTAAAGCTGTTATGGGAAAGTCTCGCTAACTACGAGACAACCCGACAATATTAGGCCACATCTGTCTGTGTTGTAATCACAGTTTGGCTCTCCGTGTAGTAAAATATGTGCACAACAAGCTTAAAGGTGGTACTTTACTGCCCAATACCTCTGACCACACCCAGCAGTGACCTCATGGTGTACTGACCACACCCTGGAGTACGCTTCTACATCACTGTCACAATATGAGGGGAACTACCGATCTTTAAGGTGCAAGGTACGAACGGGATTGGGAGCATTTCGACGAAATGTTATGGCATACTATACCAGGAATTGTTATGACTTTTGATGGCATACTGTACAAAGACTTGTAAATGCTTTTTTTTATGACATACTATACACATTTTTTTTTTCATGAGCCTCTCAATTAGACATTGTCTGTGGGAGAACAGTGACTTCTAGTTCTTCATCGCATCTCTGTCTAATCAGCTGATGCACACACTGGCCTACAGCTCACCAGCCTGAGGATCACAAGTGTTTTGACAACTCCAACGTGTGCAAATGTAATGTGGATTTTACACTGAATTATCTGAACCCAGACAATGTTTGATATTGATGTATTTCCAGGTGTGTAAAAGTGTGGTGACACTGTCTGTGCTCTTGCTCAGTGCAAGTCTTTGACTTGGTGGTTAGATCTATGCAAGTATAAGTGTCTTAGACCGAACTCCTTGTCTGGGTGGGTTTGTTGTTCGTCACTGAGCTAGATTAGACATCAACGTAAAATCTGTTTCACCTCTACTCCCTTTTCAAATAGGATTTGTGCTCAGTGTCTGCAGTACTGAGCCAGCCTGAAGCACAGGACAGGAAGTGGGTTTCAACTGACCTAAATAGAATTACATTTGATGTTTTGAGTTAAATGTTTCTGCTACTGATCCACCTATTTGTTTTGTATTGTCTTACTTTACTTCAACCTGTTTTCTTCCCAAAATGTTAATGCAGGTCAGATTGTAAACGTAAATGTGTTATTTTTCTTAGTAGCTTTTAAATGTAAAATGTAGAATATGTTTAATAGAAAAACAAGACCTGAGGTTCTTGTAAGGCTGAAGAGAATTATTTATCTACACCAGGATTTGCTACATAAAGTATACTTTTTGGTATTATGCAAATTGAAACTGGACACTGGCTCATTATATGTTAATCTGCAAACACAGTGTGACATAGCAGCTGCTTAAACTGACCCGTTCATGTGCATTGCTGCCCCTTTCAGCAGCTACATTACTGCAAGCAGCTCTGTGTTTCTAATCATGAATGACTATTACTATAGTTTAATCTTAAACGGGTACTCTGTAGGTTCTCTGCTGTTTGACGTAGTCTTTGACCTCTTCTGCTGCATGATCTTAATCCCTCTTCTCGTTTTACTTAACCACCCTAAATCCTCTTACCTGAAACATAACCACATCATTTCTCTCTCACATGCTCAAGCGTGTATGAATACTTTTGTAAAGATAATAAAATAATAAAAATAAGACATTTTTCAATCAAGAATGGTATCAATTAAGGGTCGTGGTTTGTATTTTTTGCCCTTTTTTATATAAAATCCTT